CAACCAGGAGGGTGGTGGTGAGAAAGTTCTGGACTGGGGACCAAGTGTGGCTGGGAGCCTTCAGAGAGCAGCAGTCCCCAGCCAGCCCCTCCCTGCTCACCTCAATGTGTGCCAAGGGCTCCCTCTCTGCCAGCTTCTGCACCCAGAGCTCAAAGTTGAGGCCAAAGCAGTTTAGGAGTGACCACAGGTAGACAATGTCACAAGGCCCAAGCCACAGAGTGGTGACGGCAAATGTGGCCACGGAGGCCGCCAGCTCGGGGATCACCTCAGAGTGCTCCCCGCCGATGTGGTCATACACGTACCTGTGGGAAAAGGCAGGTAGGAGGCGGGCAAAGGGTACCCAGCAGGGACAGCACATGCAGCATTCCTGACCGCCAGTGGCTTCTCTTCGTGGACCCAACTTGGGAAGTTGGGGGGCTCAGCCCAGGACTGCAGAGCTCCTCCAGCTGTGCTCACTCCGTCCCCACGTGGCCGCATCCAAACCCAAGGCTCTGAACACTAACCAGGGTCTTTAGTCCAGTCTCCCTCCGAACTCCTCTGTCCCATGGCTACCAGATTCCTCACTTGAAGGACAGGTTCCCCATCCCTGCCCAAACCCACTGCATCCTCATCTCAGTTCATGACACCACCCTCCACTCAGTGGTAGGCCAGGAGCCTTCGTGCCTTCCTGGATACTCAATTCCCACCTCCACCCACATCCGTGCCTGCAAGTGGTCTCCACTCAGCCCTGGCCACTGCTCACCACCATCCTAGTCCAGGCCATCTCCTCCCACAGAGACTAAGGCACGTCTCTAGGTCGTCTCCCTGCTTCTGCCTTCGCCCCCTCTTCACAGCGGCGAGAGGCATCGTTTAAGAGTGTGGCTTGGGCCACATCACTTCCACAATCAAACCTTTGCCCCCATTACAATTAGAATAAATTCATCCTTCTTACTGTGGCTAGAAGATCCCATGTCCCCTGGATTCTGCCCGCCTTCTCACCTCACCACCGCCATTCTTGCCCTCGTGAACTCTGCTCTGGCTTCATTGGCCCTCCTGTCCCTCAGACACAGCTAGTTCCTGCCTTAAGGCCTTTGCACTCATTGCTCCCCTGTCTCAAATGATCTTCCCCACATTCCCTGATCTCTCAAATCTCAGTTCAAATATCATCTCACAGAGGTCTGCCCAGATCCTGCGGCCAGCTTCTATCCCACTATACTGTGTGTGTTCTTCCATAATGCCTACCACTCTCTAAAATGGTTTATGTGTGTGTTTACCTGCTTATGGTCTGTTTCACCCCAACTAGACTGTAAGCTCCATGAGTTTGGGGTCTTTTCCATGCTCACTGCTGTATCCCCAATGCCTAGAACAGTGCCTGGTCCATAGTAGGTGCTTAATAAATATTTGTTAAATAAATTCAGTAGACAGCCCATTGAGTAACATCCTTGACCTCCTCATTTCCAATGGTTTCTTTTCCAGTCCGCCTCAGCCACCCACTCCCATGGCCACACCCCAACTTTGTCACCACTTGAAATTTCACTCATTCCTCATTCCCATTCTTCCCCCAGTCCCTCCTGGCCTGGCCTCCCTGCTCTCTCTGCTCTAATGACATCA